GGGTGCAGCAGCCCCCCCACCTCGGTGCTCCTGTCTCCAGCTGCATCCCCCTGCCGGGACCAGGAGATGCGGACTCCCAGTGCCCAGCCCAGCCATGCTGCTGCCAAGAGATCCCTGCGCTGCTACCGGAGACCCCGGGACTCACCCAGCCCCTCTGCCGGCAGTTGGAGGGCTGGCCGGAGCCGTGCCAGCCGCTCTTTCAGCTCCAGTTCAGACGGAGCTAGTGAGTCCTCATCTTCATCTTCATCCTCATCCTCCCGATCCCGGTCACGGTCGTTCTCCCCACCGTCCAAGCGGTGGCGAAGGTAAGTAGTGGAGCATCTGTCTGCTTGCTCTTTGGGCAATTGTTTGGTGGCTGGTCTCTTACAACGGTGCTCAGACCCCTCTTTATGGACCTACTTAATGGCTGTATTTGATCTTTTTGTCCTTGTGGGCCTTCTGAAGGGGTGCCTGGCTGCAGAGACGGGGGAGCTGCTGCAGCACCCTGCCAGTGGGTGTCTGGCTGAACCACATCTGGGCAGGTGTGCCTGCAAAGCCATCACTGAGCCAGGCTTCCTTACTCCTCATGGAATGCCATGGCACGAGTCTTTGGCTGCACCTTGGCTTTTGGATGGTTTTTCTGGGGTATTATTGCAGGTGTTGGTGTTTGTGCTGTGGGGCTGGTGCGGCCCTTGAAGTAGAAATGAGAGGAGCCACAATGGAGCCCTCCAGGAAGCTGCTGGAGGCAAGCAGAGAAAAACCCATCTGCCTTGGCTGCCTCAGAGGCTCCCCACACTCTCTATGGAGGTGGCTGCATAGGAAAGTGGGGCGGCTTGGTCTCTGCGGGACGCATTTGTTTTGGAGTCCTTGTGCACCTGAGTGATGCGCAGCCTGTCCCAGCTGGGGTGGGAAGTACTGGAGCTGGTGAGGAATGCCTCATTCACCCTTCCCTGGGTGTTCCACCCGTTCTGGAAACATCCCAAGTCATGGGGCACAAAGAGCTTGTCCAACTGAGGCCCCTCCATCGGTGGCCAATAGGTGTGGAGGCTGGAGCTGGAAAGTATATATATATAGTGCCCTGTCCCAGGGATGTGCAGCTCAGAGACTTGCTGTGTCTGGCTTGGCTTTCCAGCAAATGCAGCTAGCCCTGTGCTGGGAAATGTCCGCATGGACTGTGCCATCCTGACCTGCTGTTCTCCAGAATATGTGGCAGTACCAGGCAGCACAGCCCTCTCAGGGCCTGGGTTTGGGGGCCACCCATGGGCAGCATGTTTAGAGACAGATCCTGCTGCTAGCTGGAGGCAGCACAGCTTGGTCCCAGAGGGACCCTTAAGCTTTGCCTGGCCCAGCCAGGGAAGCTCTTGAGGGCAGAAGGCTGTGGGCATGGAAGCCCAGCCCTGTCTCAGTGCATGACGCAGCCCTTGGTGTGGTTGGAGGCACATATGGTGTCCATTTGCATGGCTGTTGAGTGCAACATGGATGTGGTGGCTCCAGTGTCATCCTGTGCACTATGTGGGGCTCAGCACGGCAGCCCTGGCCTCTCCTGGGCCCTTGCCCAGTCGCAGCCACGTGAGCATGTTCCCCCCGTGACTATTTGTTGCTCTTCAGAGGCTGTGCCTGTTGTGAGCGTGCTTCCTTTCTGCTGTGGTGTTTGGAGCCAAGTGGAGCAACATCTCTCTAGTGACATTACTGCCCTGGAAAACTTGGGCAGATGTTTCCATGCCCCTCTCAGCCTGGGTATGGGTCCTGTCTCAGTGGGGTGCTGGGTACCTTGGGGAAAATGGAGGTCTTTTCCAGAGCCTCGTGGTGCTGGGCACAGCAAGGCCTCGGCACTGAGCTGCATCTCTCCTTCCCCCAGGTACCGCTCAAGATGTTCCCACAGCTCCTCCTCCCGCTCCAGCTGTGGGTCATGTGGCAGGTCCCGGGAGAGGTCCTCATCCTCATCATCAACGTCCTCCTACTCATCCAGGTCCACGTCCCGCAGCCAGTCCCGCTCCCGCTCCCCCTCGCCCCGCAGGAGGAGTAACAGGCGGAGAAGGTGAGCGTGACCACCCTGCAGGGGTGTGAGCTTCCCCCAATCCATCTCCCGGCCTCCTGTGTCCTGGGCAGGGGCGGACTCACTCCTTCAGTATCTCCCTTGTGTCGGGAATCACTCTCTTCTGGCCCCCCCATGATCCTGTAGCTCACATGTCCGGTTTCTGCCCTGCCAGATACAGTTACGACGCACAGGATCACTACCAAAGGCAGAGGATCCTCCAGAAGGAACGTGCAATAGTGAGTGCTGGAGGGCTGGGAAGCTGGGACTGGAGATTTGGGGTCCCCAGCCCCTCCATCACTTCAGAAAGCCGTGGGGTTGCAGCCTTGCAGGCAGCATTGCTGGGAGGTTCTGGCCAGGGCATGGCATGATGGGTGGTGATGCAGGGAGGGTGCTCTGTGCGAGAGGTCCTGCTCACGGGGGAAGCTTGGAGATGCCGAGTCCCTCTGTTCCCGTCTCATGAGGTGGTGCCTCCCCGCTCACAGGAGGAGCGGCGAGTTGTGTTTATCGGCAAGATCCCCAGCAGGATGACACGGTCGGAGCTGCGGCACCGCTTCTCTGTGTTTGGGGACATCGAGGAGTGCACCCTGCACTTCCGCTCCGAGGGGTAAGATCTGCTGGGACATGGGGCAGCCCCTTCCCAGGGATGGCTCCTCTTGGCCCTTTTCCCATTCCTCGAGGGGATGGCACAGACCGAGGGCAGACAAACATACTGCACTGCTGCTGATCTCCCTTCTTCTTCTCTGGCTCCAGGGACAACTATGGCTTTGTCACCTACCGCTACGCCGAGGAGGCCTTTGCCGCCATTGAGAGCGGGCACAAGCTGCGGCGCCCGGATGAGCAGCCCTTCGATCTTTGCTTCGGCGGCCGCCGGCAGTTCTGCAGGAGGAACTACGCTGACTTGGGTGAGTCGCACAGCCTCCAGGTTGGAGGGTGGCACCCTGGGTCCTCTCTCTTTCCCAGAGGTGTAGGGGTCGCCATCCTTGGTGTCAGACAGGCTTGGCTGGGCAGGGCCGTGTCCAAGGATAGTCCTGCCCCGAGGGGAGGTTGGATTGGGGCTCCTTGTCTCTCCAGTGCTGTGATGGAGGCCAGGTCTGGTCCTCCATCAGCTCAGCTCTGGGTCTAGAGGTTGACACGTGAAGTGAGATGGGAAGGAGTTGCTGCGGGGATGGCCAGAACTGTGCCAGTGTCCCTGTGGCTCAAGGCAGCCTCTCCCCATGTCTTACAGACTCAAACCGGGAGGATTTCGACCCAGCCCCTGTCAAGAGCAAGTTTGACTCCCTGGACTTCGACACGCTGCTGCGGCAGGCACAGCGCAGCCTGCGGAGGTAGCGGCAGGCGAGGCGGTGCGCCCGCCCCCACTTTTATACTCAAATACAAAAGACAAAAAAAGTATAGAGAGAGAGAAAGAGAGAAAGGAGGTTTTTAAGAAAAAGAAAAAGGAAAAAAAGAAATTTGTTTTATAACCAGTATTTAAGGAGGACGGGTCATTTGCCTTCGACCAGAGGGGCCTAGACAAGTGGCAGCCCCAGGCTTGCCCCAGCCGTGTAATAAATGTGGATGCCCAAACAGCAGCGCTGCCTCGTCTCCTCCTTCGCGTGGGCCATTGGCAGGCGTGGGCTGGGGCTGTGCCCCCTTAGGACCTTGGGGGCTCTGTGCTAGGGTCTGGCCCCATGAGAGGTAGCACAGCTCTGGGACTGGGGAACATGGGGCAGGACTGGGGTCATTGAGCTGCTCTGAGGGGTCTGGCAACCCCCAAATGGCCTGGCATGGAGTGAATGCCTCTGAGGAACAGGCAGTGCAGACCTCTCTGACCATGTTGGGCTCTGCTGGAGCGAGGATGCAGCACCCCGGCCCCGAGGCATCCAGCTGGGTTTTGGGGCCACCTGCACCTCCCGTGGTGGCCACGGAGGGGCAGTGCAAGATCCTTCACCGCCGCTGCTCCCTGCTGTGGGCTGGGGTACAAGGGGCTCAAGGGTTTGGCAGGAGCACAGGCAGGGTTCTGCCCGCTCTGAGGGCAGCAGGCACAGCTGTGATGGCTGCCTGTCCCCTTCGAGCCCGCTGGTTGGTTTTGCTCCAGCTTGGCAGAAGGAGAAGGATGTCTGACATCCCATCACTGGGTGTCCCCTGAGGGAGAGGTGTTGGTGTGACTGCAGAGAGGTTACAGGCAACCACAGCGGGACGGCACTTGGCAGAGGAAGGATGCACAGCGACAGGGAGGGGATGCAGGATGCCTGTCCAGGCCCCCCCAGTGCGCTGCAGCTCATGGAGGAGAAGGGTGATCCCAGGCAGCCCCCAAGGGAGTGTGCTTGGGCCTGCTGCTGAGCAGCTTCCCTGCACCTCGCCCTGAGCCAGCAGTGCCAGGGCCCTGCACCCCGCTCTTGTGCTGGCAGCCAGAGAAAAGCCCGGCCTTGGGCTGCTGCTGGGCTGGGACAAGCTCGGGGATCCCCAGCACCTGAGTGGGGCTGAGCTGGGCAGTGTTGGCTGAGACCCCTGAGATGGCATGAAGCGCCCCAACTTCAGCACTGGGACAGGTACAGTTGGGCACCCTTTCAGCACACCCTGGGGTGGGGGAGCCTGCAGCCACCTGGCTGGGCTCTGTAGAGCTGGGGGAGCATGGAGGGAAGGGACAGGCAGGGGATGGACCCCCCTCCTTGCAGTGCCTGGGGCTGGAGGGGGCTGGTCAAAGTCCCACCAGACCCCTTGTTTGATGGAGGCAGCACCCACTCCTCTAGTAGGAGAGCAGGGAGGGGAAATAGCAGCCAGTAAAACCAGGGTGGGGTGTCCAGTGGGTGTGACACAGGGCTGGGGGTTCAGCCAAGCTGATGCTGCCACTTGGATCATGCTCAGGCCTCTGAGGTCCTTTGGGGGTGTGCCTGGGGTGAGCTGCAGCAACCTTGTGCTCCGGGTTTAGCACAGTGGCTGGAGCCCACTTGTGCCCTCTCTGCTTCCTTGGATGGAGAAGGATGCTCCTGCCTGCGTGCTGGGTGACTTGTGCCACTCTGTAGCTCAGCCCAGGGAGGCCCCCACGGTACCCCAGGTATGTGGGGTGCGGTGAGGCTGCCAGTGGGGTGAGCACTGGGGCAAGCCCCCACCCTGTCCTCTCCTGCCTGGCCCTGGACTTTGCACAAGGGAGGGTCCAAGGAGGCGGCTGCAGGCAAAAGTGTGAGCAGGATGGGGGCGGGGAAGGTGGGCAGGGGGCTGTTAATCAGTAATGCAGCTCTTGCCAGGGACATAGGCTTGGCAGGAGGGTGCAGGAGGGGGTGAAAGCCAGGGCCCAGCCTGGACTGGGCGAGGGGGGGAGGATGTGAGCATCCCTTTTTGGGATTCCATGCAAACCCCTTTTGCTGGGACGATCTCTGTGCTGACAGGCATCTCCCCAGCCTTCGAGCTGCCCCAGCAGCGCTGAGGGCGTGTGGATCCAAGCAAGAGCGTTGCAGGGAGACGCCTGTTCAACCAGCTGCGAAAAGGCCCGCAAGCTGTAGGCTGATTCAGGTCTGAGAAGGGCTCGTGCGCCCGAGAGCTGGGCTGGTTTCTCCAACTGCTTTAGGCGGCCTGAAAGTTTCTCTGCAGCCTTTCCTCGAACCTCTGCTGCAGCTGTGGGGGCAGGCGGGAGCTGGGAGTGCCAATGGGGAAGCCAGAGCTGGGCATGGGGGAATGACCCTGGGGATGTGCTACCCTATGGACCTGAGGGGTGTGCATTTGGGCAGCCCTGTGAGCATAGCATCACCCCAAACATATGTGCTGGTGCTGCTGGTTGCAGCGCAAACAAGGCTGTATCCTTGTGTTCCTGGGGCTGGTCTGCACATGGTACCCTCCCTTCGCTCCTGGGGGTGAGGAAAGGCAGGGGGTGTGAAAGCGTTTGTGTTGCCAAAAGAATTAACACCTGATGTTGTGCCTTATAAATCTTCCAAGTGTTAGAGCCTGGCTTTATCCCCCCCGTGTTACAGTTTAATGGTTTCCGTTAGCAATAACCTGGCCCTGTGTTCTGGGGTTATTGATTTAAGGTCTGCTGTGGAGAGTGTGAGAGTTGCAGAAAGGTGTTTTCCTGCCGCCCAGCCAGCGGCGAAGGCGTCGTTGCAAAGAGGAGGCAGGAGAGTGGGAAGTGGTGCACAGCCAGCTCTCTGGAAGTGTGGGTACTGACTGGAGCTGCCTGGAGAGGATCGGGGTACAGCGGTGAGGAGCAGCATTTGGAGCATGTCTCTCACTCAGCCCTGCAGCCAGCAGGCATGGCTGGAGCCACAGAGGTGACCGTAGCTGTTGTGGTAGCAGGGCAGCACGGAGGCATCCCCTGAGCGGGATGTGCCTGCCTTTGGCTGTTGTTGGAGCTGCTGCATGCACGGACGGCCCCTGGCACAACAGCAGGCAGCTCTGTGTGCCTCCCCCGGGCCAGCTGGACCACGCTGCTGCGCTGCAGACAGCCCGGTTTGGGAGTTCGGACCTGGAGCTCCCAAGGCAGAGCCATGCCTTGGCTTTCCTCTGCACACACCAATAGGTAAGTCCTGCTGGTGGCTGCATCGCTAGCCTGGAATAGTCCCTCTCACCTCGCAGGTGCCCTCTGGAAGAGGCTGGGGTGCAGCTCATGCACAGCCTTTGCCCTGCTAGCACCAGCGGTACCCGTGGGAGTTTCTGCTACCAGAGGTGAGGAGAAGAGCTGGAGCTTTGTAGGGACCTCAGCTCCTGGGAGGAATCTCTTGGAAGCAAATCCGCTTCACCCAAGGCATGCAGTGCATGTAGGACAGCCAACCTTCCTCCTACAAGTCACGGCATCCTTCGGCATCCTTCGCTGCCTGCGTGAGTGGCTCTGCCCCGAGCTGCAGCAGACCACTGCTGCGGACTACACAGGGGGTGTTTTCTGAGAGGTCACTAGGCAGAGCTGGGGTTCTCACTCTATTTCTCTTCAAGGCACTCTCAACTTTCCCCCTTCTGTTCCTGCTGCAGACTCCACTCTTGTGGTTGTCCCTAACCCTCCCTGTGCCAGGCCCTGCCATCTGTGCCCTTCTGCTGGAACAAACTTCCAAGTGACTGATGCTGATTTCACACCTTCCTCCTCCCTTTCCCTTCTCATTCCCTCTTGCATTAGTACGTCCTGAATGTGATCTCTAAGCTGGAAAGCAACTAGAAGGGCATCCAGAGTGGTCTTTCACCATGGGTGGAACCTGGAAGATGAGTGGCCTGTGCTCCATGCATGATCTGGTTTGGACCCCATGTGCAAAAGGCAGTTGGGCAGCAGGAGAGTCGGACAGCAGCACTCCCTGCCCACCTCTGCCCAAGGCTGGAGGCTGCACAGCGATTGTCCCCATTGTTTGCAGAGCTTAACATTTCCCCAGCAACAGCTGAGCCCCTTATCCTCAGGAAAGGTTATTCTGGGACCTTGGGGCTGGATGCTGCCAGGCGCTGAGCACCCACGTTGCTGTGAGGTGGGTGTGCTTTTCCGGCGCTTAGGATGTTCATACTTAAGATCCAACTTAAGATGTTCAGCGTTCTCCTCCTGAAAGCTGACAGGGACCCCCATGGGGAGAGGGGCCAGGCATGAACCTGGCTATGCAATGCTCCTCACTGTTTGCACCCATTCCCTTCCTTGGGTCCACCAGTCCTTGAGGTTCACACTGACTCTGCACAGCCAAGAGCTCAGAGGTCCTGACCAAGGCAGAGGCTGCTGCTGTGTCATGTCTGTGCCTCCCCAGCCTGGGCCCCCTGCACTGGGAGCCTCATGGGGGGCGGTACCTGCAGGGAGGGGCCGTGGGATCGCTGGAAATGTGGGCTGAGGGGAACCCCTGAGAGCTGGGAGAGTTGCTCATCCCCCTACGGCACACTGAGACTGCAGGTTTGGGGCTTCCTCACTCTCACACCTTCTCTGCTCTCTTACTCATCCCTTGTCTCAAATCCCTGCCTGCCTGCAAGCAAGCCCTGGAGGCCAGCCAGCAGTGGTGCATGCTTTAAATCTGTGCTTGTACAGCTGAAAGCCTGGGTTAATTCCCATGTACCCTCTTACAGCTGCTTTTGCTGTTATCATGTGTACTTGTGTTTACACTGGGGCAGTCCTCCAGGGTCACCCCACAGTCAAGTGTCCTGCAGTTGTGAGTAAAGGTGCAATGAATGTTCTGCTAGTGCCTCTAAACTGGACGCCTGCTCCACTCACCTCACAAACCAGGCCCTGCAAATGCTTCCTGACTCCTCTTGGCCAAAAAGCTGCAGCTGTAACACGCCACAGGAAGCAAGAGGGAGGTTAAGGGACCGTCAGGTCTGCGGCCTGGTGATGGCAGAGAATTTGTGGAAAAAAAAATGACATAGGATTTAGAAAATAGACATAAACTTGGAGAAGTGAGGGAAAAAAAAAAAAAAACCAACCCAAAGCAAAAAAACCAAACAAACAAAACCCAAACCCAAACCACACAAAAAATGCAACCACAATTTTTCTGTCAATCCAGGAAAATTCCCTCCTGACCCTAATCTGGCAATAGCGTTAAGCCTAATGTGTGAGCAGACCTCTGGGACTGTAATGCTGGGAGCACCAATGCATGAGGCCCAGAGCTTGTCTGTAGTGCCCCAGAAGAACAAAAAGCTAAGT